ATGGCACCTAACAACAACAACAAATGTCAACAGTGCCGAGGTGGAGAAAGTGGCCTCACTCCTAATCCTGTGTGCTTGACCACTAACTTTCTTGCAAGATGACTAAAGCGAGCACCGGCCCTGCCTGCAACAAGGAGGGAAGAGACTAAGGTGGCTGAGTGTTGACATCAAAGGCCGATTCAAGGTCCCCAAGACTGTGAATTAGTGATCGTGGTGGACAGTGCAAGGGGAGGAGGCAATAGCTACCGATTGTGACTTTCGGGAGCAGCCACTAGATGGCGATGCGGTCAGGGGCCTTCCCTTCTGATGCCAAGCAATGTGGGTGGGCGCAGCCTCACTCAGCTGCTTTCAGGCTTATCACTACTGTTGTGCTGGATATGAAATGAGTGCGGTTTCTGAAAACTCACACCAGACTGAGCCCACAACTCGGTTCTCTTGTGTGCTTCCTGAGTGCTCCCCCGTGTATATGCTGCCTGGCGGCGGCTTCTACTACACATATAAAGTGAGGAAGGCACTAGATTAGGCGAGAGCTTGTTAAGATTTGGTGTGATCTCATATGTGCACAGCTTAGCACTGCGTCTGGTGATGGGACGTTCGGGCCTCCAGTCCTAGCGCACAGCGACCCTACAGGAAGAGGAAAGCTGCTGCAGAACGTTCCCAGACTGTCAGTGTTAACAGGAGCAGACTCCCTCATGTTTCATCCATGGAGTGGCTGGTGGATTTGAACTGCCAACCTTGTGGTTAGCAGCCCAACATTTAAACCACTGTGCCACCAGGACTTCTAATGAGGATGTAGCATTAATTCCTTAAAATGAAAATCCAGCCTTCCCTGATATGTCTGCGCTCTGTGCTACCCTCTTCAGAGCCCAGCAAGTGTCCGGGTTAGGGATGAGGGATGAGGGATGAGAGCTGGAGTGATCAACACTGGCTCCTCCAGGCATGACTTGCCTTGGACCCGGACTGGAACCACGGTCCAGTACAACATGCTGCCTTCACAGAGGAGTCACAAGCCCACTGTTATGCCCTGTGAAAGCAGCAGCAACTGCTAACCAGTCATGTCGAACAGCTGGACTTGCAGGGGGTGAGGGGTAGGTCACCTGTGCATTTATTTTTATTTTCTAATTATAGAAAGCCAATGTTCTCATTGTCAAAAATCAAAGACTCCAACATTATGAAAATATAGAAAGTAAACAGTTCTGTGTGCTCTCACCTGAAGCGCTCAGTGTACACAGGTCTTTGTGTAGTTTCCTGTGTTTTCTTTTTCCCGAGCTGTACCTTAGGTAAAGAACCCTGGTGGCACAGTGGGTTCAGCATTGGGTTGCTAATTGCCGGGTTAGCGGTTCAAGCCTGCTGCTCCACAAGAGAAAGATGAGGCAGTCTTTTCCTATAAAGAAAGATTTGGCAGTAGATTTGGTGGGTTTGGTATGTTAGATGGAGACCCCTGGTGGAGTTGTGGGTTAGGCATTGGACTGCTGACCGCAAAGCTGGCAGTTCAAATCCTCTGCTCTGCAGAAGAAAGATGAAGCAGTTTGCTCCCGTAACTACTGAGTCTTGGAAACCTGGTGGAGCAGTTCTCCTGTGTCCTACAGGGTCAGTGAGTTAGAACCCACTTGATGGCGGTGGGTTTGGTTTTCAGTATCTTGGTGGTGGTGGTGGTCATGTACCGTGGAGTCGGTTCTGATTCATAGCCACCCTGTACAGGGTTTCCGAGGCTGTAAATCTTTACAGGAGCAGAAACCCTCATCTTTCTCCCACCCACGGAACAGCTGGTAGTTTCAACTGCTGACCCTGAGGTTAGCAACCCGAGGTCCCATCAATGTCTGTTGCTAATCTCTGCCTAGTTTGGTTTAAGAGCCGCAGCTGATGACTGTCCCATCATGTTTTGAACCTGAGCGCTGGGCATTTAGGTGATTTCCAGTTTTTCAGTATTACAAGCCATCTTTTCAGGAAGGCACCTGGTGTCCGTTGGTCCGTTGGGTTTGGTGACCTCAGGCCCAAGAGACTGAGGTGACAGACTGACTCCCAGATTACCTATAGAAGACTTCACAAGAAGTCAGCCACCCAGCGAGGGGGGAGTAGACAGACCCCAGCCAGCTAAACAACTGAGACACCTCTGCGGTCCCCTAGGCTGCTTCTACCACCCCTAGAGCCCCCACTGGGGAATCGATGCGCTTAAGGCTCCACAGTGCAGCCAGGGGCTCATGTTTATAGCCCCCCTCCTCGCTGCAGCGGCTGGCAGGGGCACACCCCCACCAATCACAGGTGGGCTCAGTAGAACTTCCCACCGATTCCCCTGCTGGCTCATTTGTCCCCAGCCACAGCTAGAATGGCCCAGTAACATCAGAATCACTTGGGCAGCTTGTTACAAGTTGAGGTTCCAGGTGGATAAAAGCATGAGGCATACATCAAACACTGGGGGGCTGCATAGCAGAGTCAAAGAATGAACCACCACCGCCGAATCCAGCAGCCTGGGTCAAACTCTCCGGCCTGGTGAGCAGTAGAAGGCAGACAGGAACACTCTGGAATACTGGAGTTCGGTGAAGTATCAGAACAGGCAAAGCCAACCATGGAAGCTGGAAACGTCCTGTGTGCCATCTGGGTGGGACTTACACTGTGTGTGGGTATGACAGTTCACTGGACATTTAAGATTAGAGATAGATGTCTGTGTGTCCGTGCGTACTCAAGTATGTACATATATACTTGAGAAATACATATGTATGTTGCATATATAGCAAGCTGTTCCCTTCAGATTTGTAATATACAGAGAACCTATCTGAGAGAACAGTAAGATTGTTGGGATTCCACCCCAGGCCCACTGGGTGGGGGCCCCGGCATCTGCATTTTACAGCCTGCCTGGGAGTGGGGAGACCCTGGGTGCTTAGCCTAGACTCCGTGGCTCATGTGCACAGCCCACTCAGAGAGTGGCCAATGCAGGAACACAGCAGACCTACCCCAGGACGGGCTCCCCTGAGAATACTGCATGCTCCTGGGAGGTATTTGGAGGTTCCAAGTGGCCCTTTGATTTTGGTCCCCACTAGGTACATCTCTGACACTGAATAACTTACTGGCCTATTTCTTACTCCTCCAAGTGCTCAGACCTAGGATTATGGCAGAGGCATATGTGAATCTTCGAGTGACAGTCACCGATTAAAACTGGCAGCTACCAATTCTGAGAGGTCCCCATGTGCCTGCTGCTGTCTTGATGCTTCTCACCCATGGCCTCTTTCCCTCCTTATAACACCTCAGACAAGAGTCTGAAGAATGGCCTTCCTGGTCACATAGGTGGTCAGTGGCAGAGATGGGGTGGGGAAAGACAGTGTGGGGTTATGCAAACATGGGCACGTGTGCAGGGGCTGGGCCCACTGCCAGAGAGCCCGAGGCACAGCGCTCTGAGCCGTGTGACCTCCTGTGTCTGCCTCTGGGCCAGCTATTGGTCTCCTTCTGCTCTGTGCCCAAAGCAGCCCGCGGGGACAGCAGGTCCTGCTTGGCAAGGTGGTTGGTAAGGATTCAGGAGAGCGTGTCCAGCAAGTGCCTCCCTGCAGCGTGCTGCAGCCATTCCATGGGCCTGGTGGGGTGGCCAGCCCAGTGGGAAAGCTGGCTGACCTACTGACCGGCAGTTCAAAATCCACGGACGCAACATTGAACCTGTGCTTTCCCACTGTTGAAGCTCTTGCCCTACTGGCCTTGCATTGCCCAGGGCCCAGGAGACAGGGAGTGGCTGCAGGCCCTCACCACTCACTCTTCATTGATAGCCTCCATTGGTGGCATGCGACCTGCGTTCAAGTCCCATCTCTGCCACTCACTCTCTCTGTGTCCTTGGGTGAGTTCATTAGCCCCTCTGAGCTCTTTCAAATGGATAAGAAAAGCTACACTGAGGTATTGTCCTGATGCTGGATTCCAGGGGACAGCCCTTGGCCCAGTGCCCATGTGTAGTCTGGGCTCTGCGCAGGGGGAGCCTTGTGAAATCACTGGGGAGAAACACATGTAGCCTGTTTGGGTGTTCAGGTTTGATGATCATTGCTGGCAAAGCCAGGGAACGTTTTATAGAGCCAGTGCCATTGACCCTCATCCGTTGGGGGCTTGTGGCGGTGCCCAAGCTGCAGCCCCAGGCTCTGGGTTGGATGTTGCCTACAGTGAAATGAAAACAGGCAAGTGTTTGTTTAGTGTGTGTTGGGGGGTGGAATCCCCTTTCTCTGGCATCGTCTTTGAACTTCTAGTGAGGCACAGGTGATGGCTTTTCGGGGGAGTGACAGCTCATTTAGTTCAGGGTCACTGATAGGGTCATCTGCTTGTCACCTGACATTCGTGACCTGTATTACCCTCCAGCCTGCATTAACCTGGCCTGTTTCTTGCTGTTTTTTCTCCTAGATTATTTACTCTCCAACAACTACGTCAATTCTATCATTGTCCATAAGTTTGACTTTTCCGATGAGGAGATCATGGCGTATTATGTATCGTTCCTGAAAACACTCTCGTTAAAACTCAACAACCACACTGTCCATTTCTTTTACAACGAGGTAAGTAACTGTCGGGCGTGCATTTGGGGGTGAAGCTAGCCAGTTGTTGCAGCACCATGGACAGGGAGGAGCCACAGAAGTTGATATGGGAGAGTGACAGGAACTTTGTCACTTCCCCGCTATGTGACACTTGGGAAGTCTCCCTTCCTCTCTGAACCTCAGCTTCCTCATCTGGAAAATGGGGCTACTAAGACAGTAAAACCTGTGAAAGCCGGAACCCATGGAAAGTGGAATTTTTCAGGGATCGAATGACATGAGATGGTGTCCTCAAAGCCACTTGTCAGTGCCTGGCTCGCTCTCTTGTCACCTGTGTTGCCATCACTGAATGGCTGCTGTTCACCTGGAGGGCACTCTTGTTGTGAAGTGCCATCGACACAGTTCTAACTTACCACGACCCTCCCACAGGGTCTCTGAGGGGTGGTTGGTGGGTCCTGGCAGTTAGCTGTCCATTGCTGATACTACGGCACTACACCAGAACTGGAATGCACTAAACAGTTTTAAAGAAACTGAGTTTGAGCCATGAGGTCAGTTTATGTCACCTACCAGAAAGTGCTGTCCTGGATCATTCTCGGGCTCAGCCCATGTCATCACAGGCTTTCCATCTCTTTCTTCTCCTGACCATATAGTTGGCATCATCCTTAGGCTCAACCCCTCATGGCCTCAGGATGGCTGCAGCAGCTCCAGACATCACATACTCAACAGAAACCATTCATGGATTGAAAAACCCCTAAGCCATCTCTCCACCAAAAAGCCTGAAGAGACCTATTCCCTTTCTGTGGCCCTTTTTCACTTCCAAACATTTTCCCTGACACCTCCCTACAGACTTTCTCTCATGCCTCCAGATCTCAGTCCTCTCACATTTCTCTTAGAGTGTCAGGGATTTGGTTTGGAAGCAGCCTGGCAGGGAAGGCCTGCCTTGTTATCTCACGAGGCTGAGCCCTAGGAGGGCTGGACTGGGGTGACGGATCTGCTCCCAAGGTCACCCCTCACATGGCTGGCCAGCTGGTGGGAGGCGTTAGTTCCTCTGGTTTTTCCGAGGGGCTGCTTGAGTGACTCACAGCGTGTGCAGGCTGCCCTCGCCTCAAGAAGTCACATGCCACCGCTCCCGCCATATTCTTTTTTTTTTAAGGTTTTTATTGTGGATTGAGTGAAAGTTTACAGGGCACATCATCAGTTTCACATTTAACCATTCATATGACTTGTTTCATTACATTGATTATAATCCCCTTCATACATCATCAGTTAACAGTGTTTCTCTCTATCCTCTTTAGCCTTTTTTTTTTTGGGCGGGTGGGGGGAAGCAGGGAACTTTGCCTTTTTGGAATTTACAGTCTCGGCTTTTAGGGAAGATTTTTACATTTATCTGTGGATATCCAGGGCTCGTGTATGCTATTACTAACAAGCATAACTGAATAATCAGATGAGGGACAGTTTGTTATGTCTGCTAGGTGGCTAAAGTCTGATCCTCAGAGCCTATGGTTTGGACGGTCTGCAACGCTTGGGCCCACAGGGACTTGAACTCCTGACCGGGTCTGCACGGTCTGCATCAGATTCCCCCTTATTTATTCTTTGTTTAAGGGACGCTGCCTCTCTTAGGCGGTCAGTGTGAATTCCTCCGTCTTACCTGTCATCGAAACTCATTGCAGCATGGCAATGGCTCTGTCTTACGTTGCCGAGGTTCCACATGATCCTTACCCATCTCTGGCCACATGTCCAGCATAAGCAGCCGCCATCTGAAGAAGGCAGCCGCCATATTCTTTAGGTTACATAGGCCAGCCCTGACTCAGTGTGTGAATACAGAGGACGAGATTCACTGGTGCCTCCCAGAGGCCCGCTAGCACGCAGCCATGTGCTGTGATTTGTAGTGGTCACGTAGGCGGGTGACCGTATTCCCACACACACTCTGACCTTGGGCCCATTCTATCTAGCTGCTCCATAGGATGTGACACCAAACCATGAACTTGGCTTTTATTTGGTCCTCAGAGAGAAGAAATGGTAGCCACAAAACGTGTGGCAGTTTTTCAAATTAACATCATGTGGGGTTCCGCCGTGGACTCCGAGCAGCCCCTGCCCGGCTGGCAGCAGTAGTTCTAGGGAGAGACACCAGAGCGTAGCTTCCCTAATCAGACTGAGGAACTGGGCCTTACTTAGGCCCCACAGAAGGCACTGGATATTGGAGCAGTGAGGAATACTAGAACACGAGGAAGAGCAGGAGGAAGCTGGGGCAGGCCCAGCTGGCTACTCTTACCAACCCCTAAACCAAGATCCTGAACAAGAGGAAGTCGTTGGCACCTGTAGGGCATGAAGAAGAAGTAGTTATCAACATCCAGGAGCAGATCCAGGCCCCGGGACTGCATTTGCCAGAGCCTCCATTAGAAAGTGAAGATGAAGAGGATGAAGGAGCTATATCATTGGGTGACCACAGCTCAATTCCCATGGGCCCAGAACGTGTAGAGCTGGTGAAAAAGACAATGGCTGAAATAAGCCTGCCTACACCAGGGGTTCCTGCCTGGGCTCGGGAGATCTCAGATGCCCAGTGGGAAGATGTGGTACAGAAGAGGCCTTCCAAGCCCAGCAGATCTCCCCAGCCTGGAAGTGACAGTACATTCCAGGCCAGAACCAGCACAGGACTGAACACATCCCTGGTTTAATGTCCATCTTCCCCCATCTCCCTTTCCACATAAAGAAAGGCAAATCAGACGTCTTCTCAGACCTACTTGATTCAGTTCTGGACATATGGGCACATTGGCCCAAGCCCAACCCGCCTAAGCATGTGTCGCTCTGTGTAGAATAAAGCACCCTATGTACACATACACACACATTAACATCATGTGATCCAGTACCTGGTACAGTAGGTGCTTAGTAAATGTGTCCAAGGAATAAATGGACCGCTTGTTCCCAAGGCTCTCCCAGGTGACAGAAAACCTGCCCGCCTGTGACGTTCAGATCAGAGAGGTGGCCGGGGTCTCCCTGCACTCTAGCGTGTATGGGCTTTGTGCACCCAGCAGAGGGCAGGCGCTGGGACTCGGGCTAGAGCCATGTTTCTGGAAGACCATCCTGCTGTTTTCAGGGGAGCACTAGGGCCTCACTTTAAGGTGGCTTAGTTCCCTCTTTTAGGTGGGCAGTACAGTAGCTACTGCTCAAGTATATGATCGAAGTCTGGTTGTCCAGGTGGCATTGTCCCCGCTGGCTCTGTCACCACAAACTCTAACTTCTGTTGCCGTAAGTGAGGGGCTTTAAAGGACAGAAATGTATTTTCTCACAGTTCCCGAGGTGAAACGTTCAAACCAGGCTCTTGTCCCAGTTGATTCCTGCCAGGGGGGTCTCACAGTCTCTGGTGTCTGCCTGCAATCCTTGACATCCCTTGGCTGGTGGGTCGACCCGTACCTGGTGTCTGTCTTCCTGAATGTGTGTGTGTCAGAGAGACACAATCTAATCTGTTTGTTGTATAACTCAGAACTGATTCAGTTAAGGGTCCCCCTGCCACACACATACACACATTCTGGTGTGACTTAGTCAACATCCCAGAAGAAAACCCCTCTCGCAAAACACCAGTACAGAGGCCAGGACCCGAGTACATATTTTGCTAGACAGGAGTTGGGGGCTGGTAGGTGGGGGACACACAGTTCATTCCATAATAGCCAGCTCAGACTCCTTCAAAGCGCCCCTTCTCTTTTCCTTCCCCCATTTCCCAGCACTGGTGTGGTGGTGTAGCATAAGCAATGAACTGCTAGCCACAGTGCAAATCTGCCAGCCAATCCTTGGCAACCCTACACAGAGTCTCTGTGAGTCCGAACAACTTGATGGTATATCCTGGTGTGGCGCTGTGGGTTAATGCGCTGGACTGCAAAGTCACTTTGAACCACAAAGTCATCGGTTCAAGCTCACTAGCTGCTCCTCGGAAACCCTCTACAAGGAGGCTATGGGTCAGAATCCACTCGATGGTACTAAATTGGCCCCAAGAGGCCAGCAAAGCACGCCCCTGTGTCTCAGGTCCAGCTCCTGATGGCCTTATTCCTGAGACACAGACTGCAGGTCTCTGGTTGTGGATGCTTGTGGTTTCCCATTTTTCATTTCGTCAGACAACTGGGAACCTCTTCCACCTGATAATGTTTACATTTTTAGTGTTTCCAGATAAATGCACAATAGCCAAAAGAGACTTCCAATTTAGAACAGCTTCACACCATTTGTCTTTGACTAGTTAAAACAGCATCTGCTGACAGCAGCATTATCAGTGAGTATTCATTAGGGGTCCGGCACCGTACCCCCAAAAGACCTTATTTTATTCTCGCCACCATGACGTAATACTGCCCCCATTTTGGAGATGAGGAAGCTGAAGCTTTAGAACCGTGCCCCC